ATTTTTGTTTGTTTGTTTGTTTTTTCATAGATCCGACCTCTCCAGGTTCCTTAAACTTTACAAATATCGGAACAAACACCATTTCGTTGTCCTGGGGAGAACCAGTAAATATGACCAATGTGACAAAGTATTTCAATATAATTTACAGCAATTCTTCATCCTCTTGGACTGTGACAGTAAACACATTAAGTGCCACCCTTCAGAACCTCACATCTGGGAATAATTACACAATTACTGTAGTAACAGTTGGTGCTCGGCAGTATCAGAGTTCTCCTGTGACCAGTTCCATCTACACAAGTAGGTTTACAGCTTTCTGTATGTTCTGCAATAGAACGTCTTATTATGTTACATTCTGTGTTCTGAGCTGGTTCCACTCATAGTGCTGGCTGGCAGAATATAGTGTGTTTGTGTTTTCTACTGATTAAACATGTTCTGTATGTTCTTGGGTATAGTATCTGTATTTCATGAAGCTGTTTCTGTCAGTGAATATCTGAAGTTATATATATCTTTTTTTTTCTTCATATTGTTTCTTATTTCCAGGCAATAACATTTTCTTGACAAATAACTACAATTTATAGAAAGAAACTGATTTTTTTTTTCTCTAGAACCAATGTTTGTGAAACAGCTCGGAGCATCTAATGTGAGTTCGAATTATGTTTTCCTGACTTGGAATCAACCTGATGAGTATAGAAGTGATTACACCTACAGAGTACAAACAGCAAACACCTCATCTGTAGTGATAAATCAAACAACGGCATCAAATCAACTCAATGTAACTAATCTGACACCCGGAGTAACATATACATTCACGGTATTTACAAGAGCGGCTGATAATGTCACTGAAAGTCAATCTGTCTCATATACAACCTGCACAGGTGAGTGTAAATTACTTTTAAAATAAATTGCCTTAGAGATACATTATTTTTTAAGAACCGCAGTGACATCTTTGAGATTATAATGATTCTCCGCCTGTATGCACATTCTTGCATTATTTAAATAAAACGTCCTTTACCTTCACCAGTGATGCCAACACTGCAATCAAATACTAAAACAGAGTTTTATTTTTGTTGTAAATTGATTGTTTATTTTTTATTTATGGACTAATCACTAAAAAGATATGTATTAGCTGCATTTTCAAAAGTAAAATTAAGACTTTTATTTTTTTTTTAAAAGGAGAGACAGGTTTAGAGAGGTGCATTGAGTGCTGAAGCTAATGAAATGGCAAAGAGCATCTTGTCAACTCATGTCTTTTGCAAATACTTGTATGTAGATATTATTGAAACCAGGGCTATGAATTTCAAGTCCCCCTTTACTAGCCAGGCCTTAAAAGTTGCTCATCACAGCAAGCCTGGTGGGTACACTGCACAACAGTGATTTTCTAATTGCCACTTGTGAATGTTCACTCATGAAAACAGACTATAGGTGCTAAGTGCTGGGCAATAGAAGGAAACTATTATTTATTTGTCAAATGGACAACTTACCAATAGCTCCAGAAATCTGGTAAATAGGGAAGTATCCAACTGCAAATGTGAATGAAAAATCAAGCCCAGCCTCAGCATAAAAGCACGCCATGCAAGTGTTCTTTCAAAAATCTTATTTGGCACTGGACAGGCATAAAACAGCCTCTTGAACTAGGTGGTCTATACTCATAGTCATCAGCAAAATGTAAAGACCACCTAGTCTGAAACGCATACGATTCTCTGTTGGTTGCCCTTTGTGATGCTGTTTTTATACCGATTAAATAAGTGCCAATAAAGTTTTTTATTGGTCATGAGAACGGAACCTCGCTGAACAATAAAATAAAAGAGGCAGCACACCTGAACGTAGGGCCAGAAACTTGGCAAGTACAACATAAAACAGGTTGTACCAAAAAGAACAAACAAGGTAAGAAATCATATGTTACACCCCATCATCATCCTGCTGTGAACCGTTGCCTGAGGAATATCTTGCAAGTGGGGATATAATACCACTGCATGCCGTTTTACCCAGAACTGGTTATAGTTCTACCAGATGTGAGTTGGCATTCTCAGACCTTTGTGTCCTGTGTTATACATTATACTACCATATTGCACTATTGGTTCCTTCCTGTTTGTGTTCTATTTCTAATGCTGCTATTGACCGAAATTGTTCCACAAGTACTTTATGAATATTGGAAGATGGAATATTATAATTTTTAGGACTGTGTCTTATTACCTGGTATTTTTTATTCTTTTATTTTCGGACTGTATTAAGGACTATTTTATACTGTGCTTTTAGAGATTTTTTTTTAGATTTCTTAACTTGTTTGTTCTTCTTTGGCGAGATAATTTACTACCTTTAGCGAGGGAATTTAAAATGTGTAGTTCTTACAGTGTAGACTTTCTTAGCATACAAACCATACACCAGGTAGATTTCAAAGGAAGAGGAGGCGATGCTCGAAAACTTTGTGTTATTTGGAGGATGACTTAAAAGCCAGGGTATCAAAATTATTTAATTATGTTTGTCATGTCATGTATTGTATAGATCATTTGTTACTTATATTTACTATATATTTGTACTGGAGGCACTTCGTACCATTTGCAACAGGTTAATATCTCTTTTACTAGGTTATTCCATTTACACGTATTTTTCGTGAGATGAAGTTACATTATTTATATATATATGAATTACATTTACTATAAGTATTATTAGTGCTATCTTTTTATATTATTCAGTTGTAGATATTAGTGAGATAGGATTAGATTATGTGGGAGCTATTTACTATTTTGCAAAATTAACCAAATTAGATTTTGTTATACTTTTTTCCTCCCCTTGCTGGTACTACTTTGTATCCACTGTACAACTTTTTGATATATTTTTTCCTCAACATGGAATGCTTTTACTAAGTACAAAAAAAATAGTTTTATCTTCTGTGTTTTCGGATTTCTGTGTTTTGGGATTTTTGTGTCGTCTGTTTGGACAACTCAATAAAAACGTGAAAAGAAGAGAAATGAACATTAAATTGCTGAAGGTTTATAATTTATTCATGGTCTTTAAATTAAAGGGACACTATTGGCACCCAGACAATTTATTCTCATTGAAGTGGTCTGATTTCCCTGTCCCTGCCCCCCTTAACATTGTATTAGATAAATTACAATGTTTACATTGCAGTGCCAAGATTGCCTCTAGTGTGTTCTGCAGGGTTCTTCTCAATGGTTCCAGGGCCCAGCAAAGTATGGGGTACAGACCTCTTGGGGACCATGCTTTGGGCCAATGTAGGCAACAGGATTCAAGCTGAGTGTTTAATCTCTTGTGTTGGCAACTCGGCTTGTGTTGCTTTAAGTTTCAGGCAGGAGATGCCACCTGCTCCTCCGCTATTTTTGAGCTTTTTGCATCTTTAATACTGGGTGACTAGGATGAGAGCGTTGGGACGATACCATAGGTGAGTAGTCGCTTTTTGCTTAGAAGTGCTTCTTCTGAGTGCCAGTTTTCTCCAAGATTCAGCGAATATGCTGTCCAGTCTGGACTCCAAATCAGGCATCTCACTGCAGCAGTCGCATGAACACATGGCATCAGCCATGTTGTGTGTCATTGGATTGGCAATCTGTATTCTTTCTTGCTTCATGTGTGCGGTTTCCCAATGTTTTGCCTTTTAGGAGGCAACCTGGATCAACCCCACTGGTCTTCGGGGGGTGGGGGTAGGAGTACAGTGAGTCTGTATCGCTAATGTTAGAATAAAGAGAGCGGCCGCCTCTCCCTGCTCCACCACCCGCAGGCCGCGGCAAGCCACCTCAGGCTCCGGTTTGCATAAATGCTTGAGCAACATGTCGTTAAGTTCACCTGGGCTCCCCTATCTCAGGTAATGCCCTATGGTGTATTTATTGGCTTAGTACCTCTTAATATACCCGAGAAATCCGCCGATTTTTCGGGAGAAACATAGAAACATAGAATGTGACGGCAGATAAGAACCATTCGGCCCATCTAGTCTGCCCAATTTTCTAAATACTTTCATTAGTCCCTAGCCTTATCTTATAGTTAGGATAGCCTTATGCCTATCCCACGCATGCTTAAACTCCTTTACTGTGTTAACCTCTACCACTTCAGCTGGCAGGCTATTCCATGCATCCACTACCCTCTCAGTAAAGTAATACTTCCTGATATTATTTTTAAACCTTTGTCCCTCTAATTTAAGACTATGTCCTCTTGTTGTGGTAGTTTTTCTTCTTTTAAATATAGTCTCCTCCTTTACTGTGTTGATTCCCTTTATATATTTAATTGTTTCTATCATATCCCCCCTGTCTCGTCTTTCCTCCAAGCTATACATGTTAAGATCCTTTAACCTTTCTTGGTAAGTTTTATCCCGCAATCCATGAACCAGTTTAGTAGCCCTTCTCTGAACCCTCTCTAAGGTATCAGTATCCTTCTGAAGATACAGTCTCCAGTACTGTGTACAATACTCCAAGTGAGGTCTCACCAGTGTTCTGTACAATGGCATGAGCACTTCCCTCTTTCTACTGCTAATACCTCTCCCTATACAACCAAGCATTCTGCTAGCATTTCCTGCTGCTCTATTACATTGTATGCCTACCTTTAAGTCATCAGAAATAATCACCCCTAAATCCCTTTCCTCATTTGTTGAGGTTAGGACTCTATCAAATATTCTGTACTCTGCCCTTGGGTTTTTACGTCCAAGATGCATTATATTGCACTTATCCGCATTAAATGTCAGTTGCCACAGTTCTGACCATTTTTCTAGTTTACCTAAATCATTTGTCATTTGGCTTATCCCTACTGGAACATCAACCCTGTTACATATCTTAGTATTATCAGCTAAAAGACATACCTTACCATCAAGACCTTCTGCAATATCACTAATTAAAATATTAAAGAGAATGAGTCTGCTCAGCTTGTAAGTCAGGCTCTGCCCCCCTGTGTTCCTTTAATTTTAAACTAACATAGTGTACTGCTTTTAATTGAATTTCAAATATGTAAGTCTCTTTATATTACTAAAATCAATGTTTTGGTTTCATTCTGTTTTCTTTCAGTGCCTGGATTAATCGGATCTCAGAATATCACTTTGAGTAATAACAGTACAACGAATACCCTCAGTGTGAACTGGATAAACCCAGGAGGAAAAGTGGATAATTACACAGTAACTCTGAGTGGAGACGTCAATAGAAAAATCACAACTAATTCTACACAAGTGAATTTCACAGACTTACTGCCAGGCAGAAACTACTCCATCACTATACAGACAGTTAGTAGTAACTGCAGCCAGTCAGCAGGTCCAGTGATAGAGGCAACATGTGAGTATGGTGGGATCATTGGAGCAGAGCTATATATTTATGTGGAAACAGCGGAGTACATACTGTGGTCGCAGGGGTCGAGGCTGCGACCGGGCCCATCACTCCAGGGACCCCTGTGACCGGGTATCCAGCGCCATCATGTTCTGCGGCCCCGGCCCACGCGGCAAACCGCCGGGGCCGCCGTCCAAGGTGTCCATCGGGTGGCCCATGCTGTCAGGGCCAACCGATAGATGTGGATTGTCAGGGGGCCCGGTCAGCGCTGGGCGCTTTAACAACACGACCGGGCCCCCTGTGATGACATCACAAGCTGGGAGGAAGTGACCGCTCGTCACTCCTCCCAGCTAACACTGAGAGCCGCGCAGGAGGAAGAACAGGGAGTCAGAGTGGGAACTCTGACTCCCATCCACCTGAGCCACCACTGGACCCCAGGAAAAGTCACCCTCCTGCACCTTAAAGGTAGGAAACAGGAGGGTGACTTAAACATTTTGTGTGTGTGTATGTTTGTATGTATGTATGTATGTGTGTGCCTGTCTGCATGTATGTGTGTCTCTGTTTGTGTGTGTGTCTGCCTCTTTGTATGTATGTGTGTGCCTGTCTGTGTATGTATGTGTGTCTGTCTGTTTGTGTGTGTGTGTGTCTGTATGTGTGTATGTGTGCCTGTCTGTTTTTTATGTATGTGTCTTTGTATGTATCGTGTGTGTGTCTGTTTGTGTGCATGTCTGTCTCTCTGTATGTGTGTGTGTGTGTCTGTATGTGTGCCTGTCTGTTTGTATGTATGTGTCTGTGTGCCTGTATGTGTGCCTGTCTGTTTGTATGTATGTGTCTGTGTGTCTATATGTGTGCCTGTCTGTTTGTATGTATGTGTCTGTGTGCCTGTCTGTCTGTCGGTCTGTTTGTATGTGTCTGTGTGTGTCTGTCTGTATGTATATATGTGTGCCTGTCTGTTTGTATGTATGTGTCTGTGTGGGGGGGAAATGGGGAGGGGGGGGGCCCATGGATCATTTTAGCACCGTTTGTGTGTACGCCACTGTGTGGAAATCATACAAATTGAATCCTAGTAAACCTTTTAGTATGATTTGTATTCAGATGCTAAATTTAGATTTTTTTTGAATTTTAGGGGTTATTCCTTAAGCAGTGGATCTTGCACAAAACCCGATTCTATAACAATTGTTTAGATGTGTTTTGACAATCTAATTTACAGCATTATAATCAGAGATTTATTAACAACTGCATGGAGGCAGATGATAAACCGAAGGCATCTGAAAGGGTGCATGCTCACACATTATCAATTACTTGTTTTTTGTAGCAGGGTTAATTATGTGGGGGCTGATCAACATTTGGTAGCCAGCCACCATATGAAAATAGTAAAAAAAGAAAAATAATTAAATAATTAAAAATCTTATGGAGTCAATAAAACCCCCATACTGCTATTATGGAGGTTGTAAACCTCCATATGCTCCAACTTGCAAACTCCCATATGGGGGCTTGTTGCCTAAACCTTACAAAAATGGTGATGTGGCCTGCAAAAAATAAAGTGGGATGATAGTCCCACTAATGCACCCACTCATGGGTATCTGGTGGAGGCTACTTTAAAAATTAATGGTGCATGATGCCGTGTTCCTCCCACCCATGGGCAGCAGGAGGGGGTCCTAATATTAATACTAAAGGGGCAGGACCTCTTGTCCACTTACTCTGGCCCCCATCCATGGGCAGCAGATGTGGGCACAAATTAAGTATAAAATTATAGAAATCGCCCAGGTGGCTAGGGGTGCGAAGTCTTCTTTCTTCTAATTCCTCTGTTCTTCAGCCCTAAATAAAAATCCAGAATACCCGACACCACTAATTAAAATAAATAAAGGCCTGATCAGAAAAAAAAAAACTTGAAGGGATCAAAGCACGTTGCAAAAACAAATGGAGGGCTCGTCCCAGACTGAACTCAGATACCGCTGAAAACGCTTATATAGGTGTGGAAAGATTTCCGGTACTTTGCAATATGACCACGAGTTCTCTGATTGGTAGTCTCAAGAGAATTTCCAGTAGGCAAACAGTTTGGATTTTGGAAATATCCAGGCCCAAATTTAACAGTTAAAACCAATGGGGCCAAATGTAATTATTTCACTCCGAATTCAATCCAACAGGCAGTGTTTCGTCCGGCTGATACCCAGACCTAATTCGAGCCCATTTGTGAGGTGATTTACAGTATCTGCACTTTGATGAAATTAATGAACAGTTTCCAGATTTTGCAGTATGAATAACCTCATAAAGAAATGGATGGTTTAGCCCCATTCAGTACTTGCTCATTGTGACATTAGCGAATAACCCTGTTTGTTATTAAAATATTGATTCCTGTAACAATTTTCTATATATTTTTTATTTTTTTATAGATCCGACCCCGCCATTTTCTTTAAGCTTAACTAGCAGCGGAACAAACAACATTTCATTGTCCTGGGGAGAACCAGTGAATATGACCAATATATCAAAAACCTTTAATATAACTTACAGCAATTCTTCATCCTCTTGGACTGCGACAGTAAACTCATTAAGTGCCACCCTTCAGAACCTCACATCTGGGACTAATTACACAATCACTGTAGTAACAGTTGGTGCTCGGCAGTATCAGAGTTCTCCAGTGACCATATCAGCGTTCACAAGTAGGTTTACACGGTGATGTATTTGTTTTACACTGTGCTAGGCGAGGTCCAGCTGAGTCAATGCACCCCCCCAGTATACCCACACATAACATATCAACCTATATTTAGCCACTCATGCATTAAGTTGTTTGGATAAAAAGTCGACATTTTCTTTAAGGTAGTATGTTTTAAAGTGTGTTCTTCATTTATTTTTGTATTAGGAAAATTACTAAAAAAAAAAACTTTTTCAAACATAATTTTCTTATAAAATGATTTATATCCAAAAATGATTCGAATTTGTTAATGTCACAACTTGGAGCATATTTGAAACCTTTATTTAAAACTTGTTTATGTGAATTAGTTAAAAAAAAATCCTGACAAATTAAAAATTTCTACACTCTGCTCTTTTTCTTTAAAACATATCTCCTCCATATTTTTACTTCTCTTCTCTTCTTTTCTATTTTCTATTTCCCCCTCTTCTAGTTCCCTGTGTCTTTTTATTGGGGAATATACTTTCCCTTTTCTCTCTGTCATTTGGGGTAAATCCTGATCTAAATTTCTAAATCTTTCAAAACGAATAGTATAGTGGATTTTTTGCATGCACAAATCTGTACAGTTTTCGAGGAAAACATTTCTTTTATATCATTCTGCACTATAAGGAAACAGATTCCGCCAAATAACTAGACAGTACTGGTATTGCTAAGGAATACAGTTGAATGCAACTAGTAGTAACTGGAATATATAATTACAAAGAATGCCCTCGAAAAATAATAAGAAAGTCAAACAAGGAGCCGTCTGTTGGCTCGATTGTATCTGTTTCTGACAATATAATCCTTGTCACAGGATATTAGCTGAAGAATCACAAAAAGGTATTTGTAGCAACATTGGTACGTCTTACATTATCTTCACAGCATACGCATCTCACATGGAATACATAAAAAGGGGATCCAACAGTGCAACTCAATAGTGCAACTCACCCAGTGTGTATATAAAAAGAGAATACAATGCACTCACAAATAAAGAGCTTCCAATTCAGCTCTTAGTAAGATCTTAAAGTGGTATGATCCCTGCTAACGCATATAACTTGTAAAGGATGTTTCTCCGTATTTTCCAATGGGTATATAGTAATAGATGGAAAAAAAGGAGAATAGTGCTCTCTATTTGTATTGGAAAATACAATGTGTAATTAAAAGTAAATTGTACTCACATTTAAAGGAGCATATACATGCTCGTTGAAATCAGCGTGGGTGGTACAATCCCCACCTGGGATATCTAAGTAGATAAAATGCTGTGCTATCAGCAGGTATTTTCCAAGAATGATAAAATAATCAAGGATAAAATAAAATAAAAAGCGGGACCAAATAAAATTAAATATGTTGAACAGCAAAATCCACTTAAATTAAAATTTAAAATTACATTATTTATTTAAAAAAAATAAATATATATATAATTTAAAATTTTAAGTCAAGTGGATTCCATTGTTGCTTTTATCTATTGTACAGTGTTGCAGAATAGGTTGGCGCTATATAAATAATTGTAATTGTCATGAACTAAGCTATAACTTATAATAAATCACGTTTTATTTTCTCGCTCTAGAACCGAACGCAGTGAAACTCCCCAGAGACAATGGCAAAACATCATATTCTGTTTCCCTGATGTGGGATCAACCTGACGAGTACAAGGCTGAATATAAATACAGAATACTAACAGCAAATTCATCATCTGTCGTGATAAATGAAATTATTGTGACAAATCAAACTGTTAATATAACTAATCTGACACCTGGGGAGACATATACATTCACTGTATTTACAAGAGCGGCTGATAATGTCACTGAAAGTCAATCTGTCTCATATACAACCTGCACAGGTGAGTACAGACTGATCTCTTTAGGGGGAGAATTGTGGATATGGTCATTATAGCAGGTAAAGAGACTTAAAGTGTATTGAAAATATGGTTTGAGGATTTTCTCTGTCTTTCTTTTCTATCCTATTTTTCCTTTCGATTTGTGTGATTTCTATTCTGATTTGTTTCAGTTCCGGGTCTGGCTCAGAATATCACAGTAAATAATAAGAATACTACTAATTCACTCAGTGTGAACTGGACAATACCAGCAGGGAAAGTGGATAATTACACCGTCACTCTGAATGGAGACGTCAATAAAATAATCACAACTAATTCTACACAAGTGGATTTCACAGACTTACTGCCAGGCAGAAACTACTCCATCACTATACAGACAGTTAGTAGTAACTGCAGCCAGTCAGCAGCTCCAGTGACAGAGGCAACATGTGAGTATGATGGGATCATTGGGACAGAGCTATTTGCTTATATGCAAATCATACACATTAAATAAAATGTAGTGACACAAATTAAGATATTCTATCATCTGTTTTCTGATATTATTGGATTATTTTCAGATGTTGGTTATAAAAATCTTTGTATAATTTTTTTTCTTCTTCTTTCATAGATCCGACCCCTCCAGCGTCCTTAAGCTTTACAAATATCGGAACAAATGCCATACCATTGTCCTTGGGAGAACCAGTAAATATGACCAATGTGACAAAGTCTTTCAATATAATTTACAGCAATTCTTCATCCTCTTGGACTGTGACAGTAAACACGTTAAATGTCACCCTTCAGAACCTCACGTCTGGGACTAATTACACAATTACTGTAGTAACAGTTGGTGCTCGGCAGTATCAGAGTTCTCCAGTGACCATATCAGCGTTCACAAGTAGGTTTTCACAGTGATTTTTTTTTTTTGACTGTTATTTACATCAATTATTTAATTTTTTTTTTTATTTATTATATTTTTATTTGAATTTTTACTTCAAGTACAAGTAACATGAATAAGCAGTTCACATATATCCATGTAAAATAACAACATAAAAAAAACACCTTTAAACATACTGTGCAATCTAATACTTAAGAGGGGCATGTTTACATTCTGGATGATCGGGGCAGAGTGGTTTATGCAATAAATATACTTTCTTTTAGACCGATGAATAAGCTCTAGATTGTATTAAACCATTTCCATTCCATTTTGTCAAGGCTATGTGGTGCATAAGCCTTTATATATGTACCACAGGAATCTCAACCAAAAATGTACGTCCAGATGAATAGAACAGAAACACATTTACAAGGTGTATAACCATAGCATCGATCTTACACAATACATTTGCCCAGCACCATATAGGATAATTGTTGCTTCCCTTTTCTCACAGCTGCCAAAATCAAAAAACAAGAAAAAAGAGAGTTTGGGGTATTTACATAGGTCCCATATACACAGAAAGCGTGTTATGAAAACAAGGAAAATCTATACATTGGCTGGCCATCACATAATAAAAGATATAATGTATGTCTCGTTCATCCACACTAAGTGACTGCCATCACAGTGTATTCAATGTGCACGCCAGTGTGTAACTATGGATATACTTTCATGTAGTGCATGAAGAACCCACTGACCCCCTAATTTCTTCAGGTACGTGGACTGAAGTATTGTGGGCAGTGTATAACCACTCTAATCGTTCCCCTGTGTATATAGCTCCCAAGGGTGCCAAGTCGAGTGGAACAGATGGTATTTGCCTAAGTTGGACATTCTCAGTTCCTCCATCTTGTGTATATTATCTATTTTGAGGAACCAGTCTCTCCTTAAGGGTCTGGTCTGGGATTTCCAATTCCCCGCTATTACTGTCTTTGCTGTCGACAGGAGATAGTACAAGAGTTAACGTTTAAATTTGTTTTGAGAAATTGGAATGTGAAAGAAAAGTAGCGTCTCTGGTTTAAACGCCAGGGGTACTTTGCTAAGTTGTTCAGTTACTCGCGCCACTTCCCGCCAGAAGCCCACTACCCCTCTGCAGTGCCACCATATATGTTGATATGTTCCCTATTCCTTCCCGCATCTCCAACAAAAGGGAGAGTATTGTGAATTATATTTGTTGGCATCTACTGGTGTGATATACCATTTTGTGAGAAATTTGAAGTTAGTCTCTTGCAATGGTATGTTTGGGTGGGTTTTCAGCATTTTCTTGAGAATATGGGACCAGTTGAAGTCATCTAATGGAGTAGAGAGCCAACTATGCGAGGCTTTAGTGTACCATGGAAGATTTGCATTCCCTGATAATTGTAGCATTTGGTAGCATTTAGATATTATTTTCTTTGATATGGGTTTTGTGCATATTTTTTTCAAAGGTTGTTTCTTCTCTAGGTGACCAATTTAGTAACTTCTCTTTACTCAGAAAGTGTTTGAGTTGATAGTATTGGAGTGTTTGCAACATGGTCTGGTTTTTGGAGTCTGAGAGGTCCTTCAGGAGTTTCAACCCTTCGGACCCCATAACCTCACCTAGTTCTATGTATTTCTCTTTCGACGGGATCGCCCCTGAGGGACCCAGAATATATCCTAAGTCCATATGGAATAATGGGTTGTGTGATATTGGGTATTTGATAGGTATTGTGTTGAGTAAATATAATATGCGTGGGAGTATAGTCATCGTAATGATGTTGATACGTCCCATCCACCTAAAATGTGGTTTATCCCACGCTTCTAAATCCGACCTTATTGAGGAAATCAGGCTTGGGAAGTTGGCTGAGTATAGTGTGTGGGGAGAATTAGTTATCTGTACCCCCAGATATTTAATGGAGGTTGTAGCCCACATGAATGGGTAGGAGCTTTGTAGTCTTATAACTTGGTTTGTAGGGACATTTATATTTAGGATTTCACATTTCTCTATATTGATTTTAAAGTTGGTGAGATCACTATATCTGTTTAAAACATTCATTAAGGAGGGCAGACTTGTCATGGGATTTTCGATGGTAAATAGAAAGTCATCCGCGAATGCTGATACTTTATATTCCCTATTCCTTACTTTAATGCCTCGTATGTCAGATCTTCTGCATACTTCCTGTAAGAGGGGCTCTAGAGTCAAGATAAATAAGAGGGGTGATAGGGGGCAACCTTGGCGGGTACCATTGCTGATCTTGAAAGGCCTAGATAGTTGCCCATTCACCTTCAACCGCGCAGTTGGAGCTGAATAGATTGCCTTGATCCATGTGAGCCATCTATTCCCAAAGCCCAGAGCTTCTAAAGTGAGTATAAGGAATGACCAGTCCACCCTGTCGAAGGCCTTCTCCGCGTCTATTGATAACATGAGAGAAGGTGTCCGGGATTTAGAGGCTAAATGTATCAGGTTGATAATTTTGGTAGTGTTGTCTTTTGCTTCTCTTGCTGGGACAAAGCCGGCCTGGTCAGGGTGGACTAGTTCTGTCAGAAACATAGAAACATAGAATGTGACGGCAGATAAGAACCATTCGGCCCATCTAGTCTGCCCAATTTTCTAAATACTTTCATTAGTCCCTAGTCTTATCTTATAGTTAGGATAGCCTTATGCCTATCCCACGCATGCTTAAACTCCTTTACTGTGTTAACCTCTACCACTTCAGCTGGAAGGCTATTCCATGCATCCACTACCCTCTCAGTAAAGTAATACTTCCTGATATTATTTTTAAACCTTTGTCCCTCTAATTTAAGACTATGTCCTCTTGTTGTGGTAGTTTTTCTTCTTTTAAATATAGTCTCCTCCTTTACTGTGTTGATTCCCTTTATATATTTAAATGTTTCTATCATATCCCCCCTGTCTCGTCTTTCCTCCAAGCTATACATGTTAAGATCCTTTAACCTTTCCTGGTAAGTTTTATCCCGCAATCCATGAACCAGTTTAGTAGCCCTTCTCTGAACCCTCTCTAAGGTATCAATATCCTTCTGAAGATAGGGTCTCCAGTACTGTGTACAATACTCCAAGTGAGGTCTCACCAGTGTTCTGTACATGAGCACTTCCCTCTTTCTACTGCTAATACCTCTCCCTATACAACCAAGCATTCTGCTAGCATTTCCTGCTGCTCTATTACATTGTCTGCCTACCTTTAAGTCATCAGAAATAATCACCCCTAAATCCCTTTCCTCATATGTTGAGGTTAGGACTCTATCAAATATTCTGTACTCTGCCCTTGGGTTTCACGTCCAAGATGCATTATCTTGCACTTATCCACATTAAATGTCAGTTGCCACAATTCTGACCATTTTTCTAGTTTACCTAAATCATTTGTCATTTGGCTTATCCCTCCTGGAACATCAACCCTGTTACATATCTTAGTATCATCAGCAAAAAGACATACCTTACCATCAAGACCTTCTGCAATATCACTAATAAAAATATTAAAGAGAATGGGTCCAAGTACAGATCCCTGAGGTACCCCACTGGTGACAAGTCCAAGCTTCGAATATATTCCATTAACTACAACCCTCTGTTGCCTGTCACTCAGCCACTGCCTTACCCATTCAACAATATTGGAATCCAAACTTAAAGATTGCAGTTTATTGATAAGCCTTCTATGTGCAACAGTGTCAAAAGCCTTACTGAAATCTAGGTAAGCAATGTCTACTGCACCACCCTGATCTATAATTTTAGTTACCCAATCAAAAAAAAAAATCAATAAGATTAGTTTGGCATGATCTCCCTGAAGTAAACCCATGTTGTCTCTGATCTTGAAATCCATGTGTTTTTAGATGTTCATCAATCCTATTCTTTAACATGGTTTCCATCACTTTCCCCACTACTGAAGTAAGGCTTACTGGCCTATAGTTGCCTGACTCCTCCCTATTACCTTTCTTGTGAATGGGCACAACATTAGCTAACTTCCAATCTTCTGGGACTACTCCTGTTAACAATGATTGGTTAAATAAATCTGTTAATGGTTTTGCTAGTACACCACTAAGCTCTTTTTAATAGCTTTGGGTGTATTCCATCAGGTCCCATTGACTTATTTGTCTTTACTTTTGACAGTTGAAATAGAACCTCTTCCTCTGTAAACTCACGTGTAATAAATGACTCATTTATCTTTTTTCTCAACTGAGGTACCTTTCCTTCATTTTCATCTGTAAATACAGAACAAAAATATTAATTGAGGCAGTCAGCTAGACCTTTATCCTCTTCTACATACCTTCCTTCTTTTGTTTTTAATCTAACTAATCCTTGTTTTACTTTTCATTTCTCATTTATGTATCTAAAAATGTTTTATCCCCTTTTTTACTGACTGTGCTATTTTCTCTTCTGTGTGTGATTTGGAAGCTCTTATAACTTGCTTAGCCTCTTTCTGCTTAATCTTATAGATCATTTTGTCTTCCTCACTCTGGGTTTTTTTGTAATTCCTAAATGCTAACTTTTTGTTTTTAACTATTTTGGCCACATCTGCGGAGTACCACAGTGGTTTCTTGAATTTTTTGCTTTTACTGACAAACCTAATGCAATTTTCTGTTGCCTTCAATAGTGCAACTTTTAAATAATCCCATTTCTCTTGGACTCCATTTAAATTGTTCCAGTCTGATAATGACTCCTCTACCCATATTCTAATTTTAGAAAAGTCTGTTTTTCTAAAGTCTAAAACTTTTGTTTTTGGGTGGTGTGACTCAGTCACTGTTCTTATATTAAACCACACTGACTGATGATCACTGGATCCTAAACTTTCACCTACAGTAACATCTGATACCAAATCTCAATTTGTTAACACTAAATCTAGTATGGCCTCTTTACGAGTTGGCTCCTCAACAACTTGTTTTAGAGACAATCCCAGTAGGGAGTTTAGAATATGTGTGCTCCTGGCACAAGTAGCTAATTTTGTTTTCCAATTTACATCAGGAAGATTAAAGTCACCCATGATGATAACTTCCCCTTCATTGTCATTTTAGCTATTTCCTCAACTAGTAGATTATCTAACTCTTCAATTTGTCCTGGGGGCCTATAAATCACACCTACACGAGTTACTGTGTGATTACCAAATTCTAACGTAGCCAAAACGGACTCTATGTTTGCCTCACTAGCTTTTATTAGGCTAGATTTTATGCTATCCTTCACATACAAGGCCACCCCTCCCCCTTTCTTGCCTTCCCTATCTTTCCTATATAAAGAGTACCCTGGTATTGCTATGTCAGTCATTTTTCTCATTATACCATGTCTCAGTAACAGCGACTAAATCTACACTATCAGTTGCCATTATTGCCACAAGTTCTTGGATCTTATTCCCTAAACTGCGAGCATTTGTAGACATGACTCTAAGCTTATCATTTTTTAACACACTTGCTACAGGCACCTTCTGTCCTTGTTTTGGGGGACAATTGGATTGATGTTTTATCACCCTTTTGCCCCCCCCTCCTAGTTTAAATACATCCTAGCAAAACCTCTGAACTGCTCACTGAGAACATTTGTTCCCTTTTGAGAAAGATGCAAACCATCTTTTTTGTACAGCTTATCTCCATTCCAAACAGAGCTGCCATGAGAAATAAAGCCAAATCCTTGCTCCCGACACCATTCACCAAGCCACAAATTAAAGTCCCTAATACGCATCCGCCTGTCGTTTTGAGTGTTATGCACAGGCAGAACTTCAGGGAATGACAGTGTGGAAGCAACCTGCCATATATCATTGGCAAAAACACTAAAAACTTCCTTAACCTCTGAAACCTCATTGCAAGCCAAGTCATTTGTCCCTAGATGGATAAGTACATCCAATTCCCCTTCCTGCTTTGCTTGCTTAACAATATTACAGATACGTCTCCTGTCTCTGTGAGCAGTAGCTCCGGGAAGACACCTCACAAGACCACCATTGTCCATCTCCACACCTCTTATAATGGAATCCCCCAACAACAACAGCTTTCTATTAGGCCTCACCATAGTCTCCAAGTCGGTCTCCACAACACCACTAGTCTGAGTGCCTCTCTCCACAATACCACTAGCCTCAGTGCCTCTCTCCACAACACCACTAGCCTCAGTGCCTCTCTCCACAACACCACTAGCCTCAGTGCCTCTCTCCATAACACCACTAGCCTCAGTGCCTCTCTCCACAACACCACTAGCCTCAGTGCCTCTCTCAGGAAGGGCCTCAGCCTAGATGCCATCATTTTGGTGAGAATCTTGACGTCCACATTTATGAGCGATATAGGTCTATAGCTCGCGCACCTCTCTAGGTCTTTCCCTGGTTTAGGCAAAAGGGTTATGGACACCTCTAGTGTTTGTTGGGGTATTGTATGTCCTGATGGGATGGAATTTATTGCCTCTAGAAAGTGACCCATTAGTTTCTTTTGGAATGTCTTATAATATATGGCTGAAAATCCATCTGGGCCTGGGCTTTTGTTAAGGGGGGCTTGTTTAATGGCCATCTGTAATTCAGCCAAGAAGAATGGCTGGCTCTTCTAGAGATCTGGTGGCCGCCGCAGGTAGAGTAGTGTCAAATTTGTCTGCTAGATATGACGTGATTTCCTCGATTTTGGGGGCCCTGTTCTGTAAGTTGTATAAGGTGGTGTAGTATTCTCTGAAGGACTCTGCTATGTCCTCTGTGGTGGATGCTAACGTGTTATTGGCACGTTTTATCCTAGGAATGTAAGTCTGAGATTGCTTTTGTTTCAGAGCTTGAGCAAGTAATTTGCCACTCCTGTTTCCCTGAGAGTAATATAAGTGTTTGGTCCATAGTAGGGCCTTTTTAGCATTGTCTAGGAGGAGTGAGTGGAGTTCCTTTCTTAATGCTATAAGTGCTCGGAATATGGGATCTGTAGGGTTATGTTTGTGTGTTTCCTCTGTTGTTCGGATCTCCCCCAGTAACTCTGCGATCCGTTTGTGTTTGTTTTTTTGGGTTTGTGCGCCCCATTTTATTAGTTCCCCCCGAATCTTCTCAGTGATTTATTTATGTTTGACACTGCACTGGGTCCAGTTGAGCCAATGCACCCCCCAGTATTCTCACACATAACATATCAATCATTCACATGCCTATATTTAGCCACTCACGCAACAGTTTTGTCATACATTCACAAATAAACAAGATACAAAGATAAACATACAAGTTTGGTCTTGCTGTTTTATACAAAATGCTGAAATAGACAAGCACACACAGACATGCACAAACACAAAAATACAGACACACAAAGATTACCTATTCTCACCCACCCCCTTGTTTCCTTCTCATATCCCACATTTTATCACCCCTTCCTCCCATCTCTCTCTGTCTTGGTTGCTGTAGTGACATGGTGCTATTTGCATACGAGAAATATTGCATAGCTTCACAGAAGACTCATCCTACATTTTCCATTCACGAGTGTCACCCATTACTGCTCATGTCTAGAGTCAGTATTCCCAGGAAATGTATAGCTTGACCACAGCTATAAAGGCACAACCATTCTCTTCCCCCTTTAGCATACAGTTCTAAACCTCAGCATCAAGGAACATTCAGAGCATCAAAACAACTTAAATGCATCTCGTATCATCTGGCATTAATAGTGTTGTGTATTTTTTGCATGTGCAAATGTGTACAGTTTTTGCAGAAAAACGGAAATATTTTGTATCATTCTGCACTGTTAGAAAACAGGTTGCGCCAAATAACTACACAGTACTGGTATTGCTAAGGAATACAGTTGTATGCAAGTAGTAGTAACTGGAATCTATAATTACAAAGAATGCCCTCGAAAAACCATAAGAAAGTCAAACAAGGAACCGTCTGTAGGTTTGATTGTATCTGCTTCTGACAATATAATCCTTGTCACAGGGTATTAGGTGAAGAATCAGAACAAGGTCTTTGTAGCGACACTGGTACGTCTTACATTATCTTCACAGCATACGCATCTCACATGGAATACATAAAAAGGGGATCTCAATAGAACAAACCCAGTGTGTATATAAAAAGAGAATAAAATGCACTCACAAACAAAGAGCTTCCAATTCAGCTCTTAGTAAGATCTTAAAGTTGAATAATCCCTGCTCACGGATATAATTTGTAAAGGATGTTCCTCTGTATTTTCCAAGGGTATATAGTAAAAGATAGAAATAAGGAGAATAGTGCTCTCTGTATTGGAAGATAAAATATGTAAGTAAAATAAATTGTACTCACATTTAAAGGAGCATATACATGCTTGTTGGAATCAGCGTGGGTGGTACAATCCCCACCTGGAATATGTAAGTTGATCAAATGCAGCACTGTCAGCAGGTATTTTTCAAAAATTATAAAATAATGAAGGATAAAATTAAATAAAAAGTAGGACCAGATAAAATTAAATATGTTGAATGGTAAAATTCACTTTAATGAAAATTTTAAATTACATTGTTGTTTTTTTAAATAAAAATTTTTTTACCAAACAAATATTAAACGATAAATGCATTAAATACTTAACAAATGGTTAAAATCACAACACATTTGGCAGAGATGGCTTTTTTAAGTGACAAAGCTATCTGGGCGAAACGCGTCGTGATTTTAGCAGATTGTTAAGTTTTTTTGTTTTAATTCAAAAAAAATATTTAAAAATAATAATTTCATTTTAAATTTTAATTAAAGTGGATTTTACCATTCAATATTCAGTTTGGCTGGCTATTCTGGTTTAAGATTTGAAAGTTACTTTGAATTCCCCAAAGATCTGTGCAGGTTTAGAGTATTAAACAGTGTTTCACTTTGAGATGAATACCGATAGCTGAATTGCCGTTACGCCCAACTGCAGGCCCTGTCTGCAAGATAGAAGCTCAATTCGCCAGTTGCCAGCATGCAATGCTGTCTGTCGACAGACGTATTTTATGCACAATATTGACATTAGGCAGCCCGGGTTTAACTAGCACTAAAGTACGGAGATCTCAGTATGTGCAGTGCTGCAGAAATGCTGCACATACACACTCCTACAACCATGACCACTTCAAATCACTAAAATACTAAGGGTGGCTGGGCTTTTATTGTTGGTCTTTTTAATCTATTGTACAGTGCTGCAGAATATGTTGGCGCTATATAAATAATTGTAATTGTCATGAACTTAGCTATAACTTGAAAGAAAATCATGTTTTATTTTCTCGCTCTAGAACCAAACACAGTGAAACTCCTCAGAGACAATGGCAAAACATCATATTCTGTTTCCCTGATTTGGGATCCACCTGACGAGTACAAGGCTGAATATAAATACAGAATACTAACAGCAAATTCATCATCTGTCGTGATAAATGAAATTATTGTGACAAATCAAACTGTTAATATAACTAATCTGACACCCGGAGTAACATATACATTCACTGTATTTACAAGAGCGGCTGATAATGTCACTGAAAGTCAATCTGTCTCATATACAACCTGCACAGGTGAGTACAGACTGACCTCTCTAGGGGGAGAATTGTGGATATGGTCATTATAGCAGGTAAAGGGGACTTCAAGTGTATTGAAAATATGGTTTGAGGATTTTCTCTCTCTTTCTTTTCTATCCTATTTTTCCTTTCGATTTGTGTGATTTCTATTCTGATTTTTTTCAGTTCCGGGTCTGGCTCAGAATATCACAGTAAATAATAAGAATACTACTAATTCACTCAGTGTGAACTGGACAATACCAGCAGGGAAAGTGGATAATTACACAGTCACTCTGAGTGGAGACGTCAATAAAATAATCACAACTAATTCTACACAAGTGGATTTCACAGATTTACTGCCAGGCAGAAACTACTCCATCACTATACAGACAGTTAGTAGTAACTGCAGCCAGTCAGCAGCTCCAGTGATAGAGGCAACATGTGAGTATGATGGGATCATTGGGACAGAGCTATTTGCTTATATGCAAATCATACACATTAAATAAAATGTAGTGACACAAATTAAGATATTCTATCATCTGTTTTCTGATATTATTGGATTATTTTCAGATGTTGGTTATAAAAATCTTTGTATACTTTTTTTTCTTCTTCCTTCGTAGATCCAACTCCTCCAGTGTCCTTAAACGTTACAAATATCGGAACAAACTACATTTCATTGTCCTGGGGAGAACCAGTAAATATGACCAATGTGACAAAGTCTTTCAAGATAATTTACAGCAATTCTTCATCCTCTTGGACTGTGACAGTAAACACATTAAATGTCACCCTTCAGAACCTCACGTCTGGGACTAATTACACAATTACTGTAGTAACAGTTGGTTCTCTGCAGTATCAGAGTTCTCCTGTGACCATATCAGCGTACACAAGTAGGTTTTCTCAGTGATTTATTTATGTTTGACACTGCACTAGGTCCAGTTGAGCCAATGCACCCCCCAGTATACTCACACATAACATATCAATCATTCACATACCTATATTTAGCCACTCACGCAACAGTTTTGTCATACATTCACAAATAAACAAGATACAAAGATAAACATACAAGTTTGGTCTTGCTGTTTTATACAAAATGCTGAAATAGACAAGCACACACAGACATGCACACACACAAAAATTCAGACACACAAAGATTACCTATTCTCACCCACCCCCTTGTTTCCTTCTCATATCCCACATTTTATCACCCCTTCCTCCCATCTCTCTCTGTCTTGGTTGCTGTAGTGACATGGTGCTATTTGCATACGAGAAATATTGCATAGCTTCACAGAAGACTCATCCTACATTTTCCATTCACGAGTGTCACCTATTACTGCTCATGTCTAGAGTCAGTATTCCCAGGAATTGTATAGCTTGACCAGAGCTATAAAGGCACAACCCTTCTCTTCCCCCTTTAGCATACAGTTCTAAACCTCAGCATCAAGGAACATTCAGAGCATCAAAACAACTTAAATGCATCTCGTATCATCTGGCATTAATAGTATTGTGTATTTGTTGCATGTGCAAATGTGTACAGTTTTTGCAGAAAAAAGGAAATATTTTGTATCATTCTGCACTGTTAGAAAACAGGTTGCGCCAAATAACTACACAGTACTGGTATTGCTAAGGAATACAGTTGTATGCAAGTAGTAGTAACTGGAATCTATAATTACAAAGAATGCCCTCGAAAAACCATAAGAAAGTCAAACAAGGAACCGTCTGTAGGTTTGATTGTATCTGCTTCTGACAATATAATCCTTGTCACAGGGTATTAGGTGAAGAATCAGAACAAGGTCTTTGTAGCGACACTGGTACGTCTTACATTATCTTCACAGCATATGCATCTCACATGGAATACATAAAAAGGGGATCTCAATAGAACAAACCCAGTGTGTATATAAAAAGAGAATAAAATGCACTCACAAACAAAGAGCTTCCAATTCAGCTCTTAGTAAGATCTTAAAGTTGAATAATCCCTGCTCACGGATATAATTTGTAAAGGGTGTTCCTCTGTATTTTCCAAGGGTGTATAGTAAAAGATAGAAATACGGAGAATAGTGCTCTCTGTATTGGAAAATAAAATATGTAAGTAAAATAAATTGTACTCACATTTAAAGGAGCATATACATGCTTGTTGGAATCAGCGTGGGTGGTACAATCCCCACCTGGAATATGTAAGTTGATCAAATGCAGCACTGTCAGCAGGTATTTTTCAAAAATTATAAAATAATGAAGGATAAAATTAAATAAAAAGTAGGACCAGATAAAATTAAATATGTTGAATGGTAAAATTCACTTTAATGAAAATTTTAAATTACATTGTTGTTTTTTTAAATAAAAATTTTTTTACCAAACAAATATTAAACGATAAATGCATTAAATACTTAACAAATGGTTAAAATCACAACACATTTGGCAGACTTGGCTTTTTTAAGTGACAAAGCTATCTGGGCGAAACGCGTTGTGATTTAAACAGTGTTTCACTTTGAGATGAATACCGATAGCTGAATTGCCGTTACGTCCAACTGCAGGCCCTGTCTGCAAGATAGAAGCTCAATTCGCCAGTTGCCAGCATGGAATGCTGTCTGTCGACAGACGTATTTTATGCACAGTATTGACATTAGGCAGCCCGGGTGTAACTAGCACTAAAGTCAGTGGCGTCTCTAGGATTCATTTTTCGGGGGGGCACATGGAGGGCCAGTGACAAAAGTAGGGGGGCACATTTAACCCCGCCCTCGCCGCAGTTTGACCCCGCCCCTGTCACATGTTAAGCCACGCCCCCGACACAATGTGTTTTGTTTTTTTAATAATACCTGGTGGAGGATTCATTATTTTCCACCAGGGATTATTAAAAAAACAAACACATTATCCTTGATACAGTGCCATAGTTGCCAACATTTGAAAAAAAAATTCCAAGGACATTTTGCAGCACAGCTATCAATTACTGTCTGGGTATAATATCCCTGGACAGTCAGTGCTCTCTGTATAATACAGGGTTGTGTGTATAATAAATTGCGACACTCAGTGCTCCCTGTATAGTGCTGCTCTCTGTATAATACAGGTCTGTTTGTGTATAATATCCCAAGACAGAGAGCAGCACTATACAGGAAGCACTGACTATCCCAGGATATTTTATACCCACAGATCTGTATTATACAGATAGCTGAGCATATACCCCAATCTCTAGACTACTAGTACCTGTCAACAGCAGCTCCCAGGCGCGTGTAACAGGGCTAAAGTGTGCGGCAGCTCACACAGATTATTCAGCGGTAAAGTTCACTCGCTGGCAGAGCCAAACTGGGAGTCCCTGGGAATCCAAAGCAGCCCTGGAAAAAAAAAAACGTATGCCATTCCTACAAGTCAAAATAAATATATATATATATATATATATATATATATATATAGTACAGTGAGCACACAAGCTCACTGACATGCGCAAATAGGCTTACTGACAGACAAAACTCCCTGACTCACACACAAGCTTACTACAGACACTCACTTGTATAAACAGAAGGCTCACTACAAAGAAGTTCAGGGACACACACACAAGCTCACTAAAGACAAGCTCACTGACACACACATGCTCACTAAATAGAAGCTCACTGACACACACAAGCAGTACCATTTTAACAGAGTTAAGGGCCCCTGGGCAAAGCAATACACTGGGGCCCTTCCTACACAACAACTCACAGGAATTTTAATTATTGATAGACTGCGGAGTCCATACACACACACAGACTGCTGAGTCCATACACACACACAGACTGCTGAGTCCATACACACACACAGATTGCTGAGTCCATACACACACACAGACAGATTGCTGAGTCCATACACACACACACACACACACACACACAGATTGCTGAGTCCATACACACACACACACACACAGATTGCTGAGTCCATACACACACACACACAGACTGCCGAGTCCATATACATACACACACAGACTGCTGAGTCCATACACACACACAAACTGCTGAGTCCATACACACACACACAGACTGCTGAGTCCATACACACACACACAGACTGCTGAGTCCACACACACACACAGACTGCTGAGTCCATATACACACACACTGCTGAGTCCATACACACACACACACTGCTGAGTCCATACACACACACACACAGACTGCTGAGTCCATACACACACACCCAGACTGCTGAGTCCATACAGTGTGTGTGTATGGGAATAGTGTATGTGTGTAGAGTGTATGTGTATGGGGGGCAGAGTGTGTGTATGGGGGGCAGTGTGTGGGGCAATGTGTGTGTATGGGGGGCAGTGTGTGGGGCAATGTGTGTGTATGGGGGGCAGTGTGTGTGTGTATAGAGGAGGCAGAAATATGGGGGAGCAATGTGTGTATAGGGGGGGCAGTGGAGCAATGTGTGTGTATGGGGAGCAGTGTCTGTGTGTGTATAGTGTGTGTGTATAGAGCTGTATGGGGGCAGTGTGTGTATGGGGGCTTGAGTGTGAGGGAAATGTGTGTGTATGAGGGGCAATGTGTGTTAGTAGTGTGTGTGTATAGGTGTGTATAAGGGGGTATGTGTGTCTATGGGAGCAGTATATAATAGAACAGTTGTAATGTGTATAGGGGGCAGTATGGGGGACAGTGTGTGTCTATGGGGGGCAGTGTGTGTGTGTGTGTATGGGGGCAGTGTGTGTGTATAGGGGGCAGTGTGTGTGCTATGGGGGGCAGTGTGTGTGTGTGTATAGGGGGCAGTGTGTGTGTGTATGGAGCAGTATGGGGACAGTGTGTATGGTGTATGGGGGGCAGTATGGGGACAGTGTGTGTATGGGGGCTATTATGGGGGGCAGTGTGTGTGTATGGGAGGCTGTATGGGGGGCAGTGTGTGTGTATGGGGGGCAATGTGTGTGTATGGGGGGCAGGGTGTGTGTATGGGAGGCTGTATGGGGGGCAGTGTGTGTGTATGGGAGGCTGTATGGGGGGCAGAGTTTGTGTAGGGGGGCAGTATTGGCGGCAATGTGTGTGTATGGGGGGGCAGTATAGGGGGCAATGTGAGTGGGGGGGCCCAAGGGGGGGCACAGCATGATGTAGGGGGGGCCATGGCCCCCTCTGACCCCCCCCACTAGTGACGCCACTGATCTCAGTATGTACAGTACTGCAGAAATGCTGCACATACACACTCCTACAACCATGACCACTTCAAATCACTAAAATACTAAGGGTGGCTGGGCTTTTATTGTTGGTTTTCTTTAATCTATTGTACAGTGCTGCAGAATATGTTGGCGCTATATAAATAATTGTAATTGTCATGAACTTAGCTATAACTTAAAGGAAAATCATGTTTTATTTTCTCGCTCTAGAACCAAACGAAGTGAAACTCCTCAGAGACAATGGCAAAACATCATATTCTGTTTCCCTGATTTGGGATCAACCTGACGAGTACAAGGCTGAATATAAATACAGAATACTAACAGCAAATTCATCATCTGTCGTGATAAATGAAATTATTGTGACAAATCAAACTGTTAATATAACTAATCTGACACCTGGGGAGACATATACATTCACTGGATTTACAAGAGCGGCTGATAATGTCACTGAAAGTCAATCTGTCTCATATACAACCTGCACAGGTGAGTACAGACTGATCTCTTTAGGGGGAGAATTGTGGATATGGTCATTATAGCAGGTAAAGAGACTTAAAGTGTATTGAAAATATGGTTTGAGGATTTTCTCTCTCTTTCTTTTCTATCCTATTTTTCCTTTCGATTTGTGTGATTTCTATTCTGATTTGTTTCAGTTCCGGGTCTTGCTCAGAATATCACAGTAAATAATAAGAATACTACTAATTCACTTAGTGTGAACTGGACAATACCAGCAGGGAAAGTGGATTATTTCACAGTCACTCTGAATGGAGACGTCAATAGAACAATCACAACTAATTCTACACAAGTGGATTTCACAGACTTACTGCCAGGCAGAAACTACTCCATCACTATACAGACAGTTAGTAGTAACTGCAGCCAGTCAGCAGCTCCAGTGATAGAGGCAACATGTGAGTATGATGGGATCATTGGGACAGAGCTATATCTTTACGTGGAAATCATACAAACTGAGTTCTAGTAAACTTTTTTGCATAATTTTTATTTAGATATCATTGGATTATTTTCAGAATAATGAAATATGGATTTCTTTAACTAATTATTTTGTTCTTGGTTTTCCATAGATCCAACCCTTCCAGTGTCCTTAAACGTTACAAATATCGGAACAAACTACATTTCATTGTCCTGGGAAGAGCCAGTAAATATGACCAATGTGACAAAGTCTTTCAATATAATTTACAGCAATTCTTCATCCTCTTGGACTGTGACAGTAAACACATTAAATGTCACCCTTCAGAACCTCACGTCTGGGACTAATTACACAATTACTGTAGTAACAGTTGGTGCTCGGCAGTATCAGAGTTCTCCTGTGACCATATCAGCGTTCACAAGTAAGTTTTCACAGTGATTTATTTATGTTTTACACTGCACTAGGTCCAGTTGAGCCAATGCACCCCCCAGTATACTCACACATAACATATCAATCATTCACATACCTATATTTAGCCACTCACGCAACAGTTTTGTCATACATTCACAAATAAACAAGATACAAAGATAAACATACAAGTTTGGTCTTGCTGTTTTATACAAAATGCTGAAATAGACAAGCACACACAGACATGCACACACATAAAAAGTCAGACACACAAAGATTACCTATTCTCACCCACCCCCTTGTTTCCTTCTCATATCCCACATTTTATCACCCCTTCCTCCCATCTCTCTCTGTCTTGGTTGCTGTAGTGACATGGTGCTATTTGCATACGAGAAATATTGCATAGCTTCACAGAAGACTCATCCTACATTTTCCATTCACGAGTGTCACCTATTACTGCTCATGTCTAGAGTCAGTATTCCCAGGAATTGTATAGCTTGACCACAGCTATAAAGGCACAACCCTTCTCTTCCCCCTTTAGCATACAGTTCTAAACCTCAGCATCAAGGAACATTCTGAGCATCAAAACAACTTAAATGCATCTCGTATCATCTGGCATTAATAGTATTGTGTATTTGTTGCATGTGCAAATGTGTACAGTTTTTGCAGAAAAAAGGAAATATTTTGTATCATTCTGCACTGTTAGAAAACAGGTTGCGCCAAATAACTACACAGTACTGGTATTGCTAAGGAATACAGTTGTATGCAAGTAGTAGTAACTGGAATCTATAATTAGGGCATAAAGAATGCCCTCGAAAACCATAAGAAAGTCAAACAAGGAACCGTCTGTAGGTTTGATTGTATCTGCTTCTGACAATATAATCCTTGTCACAGGGTATTAGGTGAAGAATCAGAACAAGGTCTTTGTAGCGACACTGGTACGTCTTACATTATCTTCACAGCATACGCATCTCACATGGAATACATAAAAAGGGGATCTCAATAGAACAAACCCAGTGTGTATATAAAAAGAGAATAAAATGCACTCACAAACAAAGAGCTTCCAATTCAGCTCTTAGTAAGATCTTAAAGTTGAATAATCCCTGCTCACGGATATAATTTGTAAAGGATGTTCCTCTGTATTTTCCAAGGGTATATATTAAAAGATAGAAATAAGGAGAATAGTGCTCTCTGTATTAGAAAATAAAATATGTAAGTAAAATAAATTGTACTCACATTTAAAGGAGCATATACATGCTTGTTGGAATCAGCGTGGGTGGTACAATCTCCACCTGGAATATGTAAGTTGATAAAATGCAGCACTGTCAGCAGGTATTTTTCAAAAATTATAAAATAATGAAGGATAAAAGGAAATAAAAAGTGGGACCAGATAAAATTAAATATGTTGAATGGTAAAATTCACTTTAATGAAAATTGTAAATTACATTGTTGTTTTTTTAAATAAAAAAAATATTGCCAAACAAATATTAAACGATAAATGCATAAAATACTTCGGTTAAAATCACAACACATTTGGCAGAGATGGCTTTTTTAAGTGACAAAGCTATCTGGGCGAAACGCGTTGTGATTTAAACAGTGTTTCACTTGGAGATGAATACCGATAGCTGAATTGCCGTTACGTCCCACTGCAGGCCCTGTCTGCAAGATAGAAGCTCAATTCGCCAGCTGCCAGCATGCAATGCTGTCTGTCGACGGACGTATTTTATGCACAGTATTACATTAGGCAGCCTGGATGTAACTAGCACTAAAGTACGGAGATCTCAGTATGTGCAGTACTGCAGAAATGCTGCACATACACACTCCTACAACCATGACCACTTCAAATCACTAAAATACTAAGGGTGGCTGGGCTTTTATTGTTGGTTTTCTTTAATCTATTGTACAGTGATGCAGAATATGTTGGCGCTATATAAATAATTGTAATTGTCATGAACTTAGCTATAACTTGAAAGAAAATCATGTTTTATTTTCTCGCTCTAGAACCAAACAAAGTGAAACTCCTCAGAGACAATGGCAAAACATCATATTCTGTTTCCCTGATTTGGGATCAACCTGACGAGTACAAGGCTGAATATAAATACAGAATACTAACAGCAAATTCAATATCTGTCGTGATAAATGAAATTATTGTGACAAATCAAACTGTTAATATAACTAATCTGACACCTGGGGAGACATATACATTCACTGTATTTACAAGAGCGGCTGATAATGTCACTGAAAGTCAATCTGTCTCATTAACAACCTGCACAGGTGAGTACAGACTGACCTCTTTAGGGGGAGAATTGTGGATATGGTCATTATAGCAGGTAAAGAGACTTAAAGTGTATTGAAAATATGGTTTGAGAATTTTCTCTCTCTTTCTTTTCTATCCTATTTTTCCTTTCGATTTGTGTGATTTCTATTCTGATTTTTTTCAGTTCCGGGTCTGGCTCAGAATATCACAGGAAATAATAAGAATACTACTAATTCACTCAGTGTGAACTGGACAATACCAGCAGGGAAAGTGGATAATTACACAGTCACTCTGAGTGGAGACGTCAATAAAATAATCACAACTAATTCTACACAAGTGGATTTCACAGACTTACTGCCAGGCAGAAACTACTCCATCACTATACAGACAGTTAGTAGTAACTGCAGCCAGTCAGCAGCTCCAGTGATAGAGGCAACATGTGAGTATGATGGGATCATTGGGACAGAGCTATTTGCTTATATGCAAATCATACACATTAAATAAAATGTAGTGACACAAATTAAGATATTCTATCATCTGTTTTCTGATATTATTGGATTATTTTCAGATGTTGGTTATAAAAATCTTTGTATACTTTTTTTTCTTCTTCTTTCATAGATCCGACCCCTCCAGCGTCCTTAAGCTTTACAAATATTGGAACAAACTACATTTCATTGTCCTGGGGAGAACCAGTAAATATGACCAATGTGACAAAGTCTTTCAAGATAATTTACAGTAATTCTTCATCCTCTTGGACTGTGACAGTAAACACATTAAATGCCACACTTCAGAACCTCACATCTGGGACTAATTACACAATTACTGTAGTAACAGTTGGTGCTCGGCAGTATCAGAGTTCTCCTGTGACCATATCAGCGTTCACAAGTAGGTTTTCACAGTGATTTATTTATGTTTGACACTGCACTAGGTCCAGTTGAGCCGATGCACCCCCCAGTATACTCACACATAACATATCAATCATTCACATACCTATATTTAGCCACTCACGCAACAGTTTTGTCATACATTCACAACTAAACAAGATACAAAGATAAACATACAAGTTTGGTCTTGCTGTTTTATACAAAATGCTGAAATAGACAAGCACACACAGACATGCACACACACAAAAATTCAGACACACAAAGATTACCTATTCTCACCCACCCCCTTGTTTCCTTCTCATATCCCACATTTTATCACCCCTTCCTCCCATCTCTCTCTGTCTTGGTTGCTGCAGTGACATGGTGCTATTTGCATACGAGAAATATTGCATAGCTTCACAGAAGACTCATCCTACATTTTCCATTCACGAGTGTCACCTATTACTGCTCATGTCTAGAGTCAGTATTCCCAGGAATTGTATAGCTTGACCACAGCTATAAAGGCACAACCCTTCTCTTCCCCCTTTAGCATACAGTTCTAAACCTCAGCATCAAGGAACATTCTGAGCATCAAAACAACTTAAATGCATCTCGTATCATCTGGCATTAATAGTATTGTGTATCTGTTGCATGTGCAAATGTATACAGTTTTTGCAGAAAAACTGAAATATTTTGTATCATTCTGCACTGTTAGAAAACAGGTTGCACCAAATAACTACACAGTACTGGTATTGCTAAGGAATACAGTTTGATGCAAGTAGTAGTAACTGGAATCTATAATTACAAAGAATGCCCTCGAAAAACCATAAGAAAGTCAAACAAGGAACCGTCTGTAGGTTTGATTGTATCTGCTTCTGACAATATAATCCTTGTCACAGGGTATTAGGTGAAGAATCAGAACAAGGTCTTTGTAGCGACACTGGTACGTCTTACATTATCTTCACAGCATATGCATCTCACATGGAATACATAAAAAGGGGATCTCAATAGAACAAACCCAGTGTGTATATAAAAAGAGAATAAAATGCACTCACAAACAAAGAGCTTCCAATTCAGCTCTTAGTAAGATCTTAAAGTTGAATAATCCCTGCTCACGGATATAATTTGTAAAGGGTGTTCCTCTGTATTTTCCAAGGGTGTATAGTAAAAGATAGAAATAAGGAGAATAGTGCTCTCTGTATTGGAAGATAAAATATGTAAGTAAAATAAATTGTACTCACATTTAAAGGAGCATATACGTGCTTGTTGGAATCAGCGTGGGTGGTACAATCCCCACCTGGAATATGTAAGTTGATAAAATGCAGCACTGTCAGCAGGTATTTTTCAAAAATTATAAAATAATGAAAGATAAAATGAAATAAAAAGTGGGACCAGATAAAATTAAATATGTTGAATGGTAAAATTCACTTTAATGAAAATTTTAAATTACATTGTTGTTTTTTTAAATAAAAAAAATATTACCAAACAAATATTAAACGATAAATGCATAAAATGCTTAACAATCGGTTAAAATCACAACACATTTGGCAGAGATGGCTTTTTTAAGTGACGAAGCTATCTGGGCGAAACGCGTTGTGATTTTAGCAGATTGTTACGTTTTTTGTTTTAATTCAAAAAATTTTTTAACAATAATAATTTCATTTTAAATTTTAATTAAAGTGGATTTTACCATTCAATATTCAGTTTGGCTGGCTATTCTGGTTTAAGATTTGAAAGTTACTTTGAATTCCCCAAAGATCTGTGCAGGTTTAGAGTATTTAAACAGTGTTTCACTTTGAGATGAATACCGATAGCTGAATTGCCGTTACGCCCAACTGCAGGCCTTGTCTGCAAGATAGAAGCTCAATTCGCCAGTTGCCAGCATGCAATGCTGTCTGTCGACAGACGTATTTTATGCACAGTATTGACATTAGGCAGCCCGGGTGTAACTAGCACTAAAGTACGGAGATCTCAGTATGTGCAGTGCTGCAGAAATGCTGCACATACACACTCCTACAACCATGACCACTTCAAATCACCAAAATACTAAGGGTGGCTGGGCTTTTATTGTTGGTCTTCTTTAATCTATTGTACAGTGCTGCAGAATATGTTGGCGCTATATAAATAATTGTAATTGTCATGAACTTGAAAGAAAATCACGTTTTATTTTCTCGCTCTAGAACCAAACGCAGTGAAACTCCTCAGAGACAATGGCAAAACATCATATTCTGTTTCCCTGATTTGGGATCCACCTGATGAGTACAAGGCTGAATATAAATACAGAATACTAACAGCAAATGCATCGTCTGCAGTGATAAATGAAATTATTGTGACAAGTCAAACTGTTAATATAACTAATCTGATACCTGGGGAGACATATACATTCACTGTATTTACAAGAGCGGCTGATAATGTCACTGAAAGTCAATCTGTCTCATATACAACCTGCACAGGTGAGTACAGACTGACCTCTCTAGGGGGAAAATAGTGGATATGGTCATAATATCAGGTAAAAAAGACTTGGTAAGAGCAGGTAAAAGTGTATTGAAAATATGGTAAAAATGTGAAGTTTCCTCCCTTCTTCCCTCTCTCTCACTCTCTATGCCTCTTTTCCTTTCTGCCTGTTATTTGGTATTTTAAACTGACAAAGTGGGGACAATCTGTTAGCCTCCCCCACCCCTCCCCAGCCCCCACCAGCAGCTAAAGAGTTAAAAAAAACCTTTGCTCACTTACCCGATTACAGCACTGATGTCATCAATGGGGGAGGGGGCTAATGCGCGGCGAGTGCCGCAAGCGCACAAAGCCCTCCCAATAGTAAACTATTGCTTCAATTCTTTCCTAGGTGGGGATTTCACTGATGCTGGATGTCCTCATGCAGAGCGTGAGGATGTCCAGTGTCATTTAGAGGACCTAGAGTCCAGTAGCATCCACAAAGTGCCTCTTGTGACTGTCTGACTGACATCCACTGGAGGCAGTCTTAGTCCTGCAAAATATTTATTACAGTTTCTCAACAACTGCAATGATTTACATTGCAGGATTACGTAGGATAGAGACATTGCACCCAGACCAGAAGTGTCCCTTTAATAAGTTAAACAAGTTGACCATTTTGAGGCAATTCAGTTTACAAGTGTAATTTAGCCACAAGATGTCACCAAAGGATTACTTTTTAAAACTAATTTTACCATAAATGTTTGATAGAATTTCTCTAGCCACAAAAATGAAAAATATTTGAGATTTTGAGTTATAAAATATTCTACCGAGGAAATTCTTCAGGAAACTACTATATAACTAAAAAAAAAAACTAACACAAAAAACACATTAAATAAAATCAAGAAAAACAGATACAGACACATATCTGGCACATAATCTTTGATGACCACACTTACACACACTCACATACACCCAGAAACACACTCATACAAACACTGACACACATACATTGGCACATAATCACAAAAGCAAACATTCTAACTGACATACACTGGCACACATACATAAGCACTGTGACCCATGCAAACACACTGACATAAACACTGGCACACACACTCACATAAACTCTTTAACACACACTGCAACACATTTATCTACACTGACACATGCACACATTGATGTATATTGACACACACACAGTGCTCCATGCAAACAATGGCATGCACACACTCACATAAACTCATAAAACACACTGACACACATTGATCAGTACCAACACATACATTGATCCATATTGACACAAACACACACACACAGTGAATAATACAAACACTGGCACACACTCATTAGCACACACTGGCACACTCTCACATACACTCATTAACACACACTTTCACATATTGATCCATATTGACACACGCATTGATCCATATTAACACACAGTGACTCTAAAAACACTGGCACACATACTCACATACACTTATTAACACACTCTGGCACACATTGATACTTATCGACACACACATTGATCCATATTAACACACAGTGACCCTAAAAACACCAGCACACACACTCACATACATTTATTAACACACACTGGCACACATTGATCCATATTGGCACACACATTGATCCATATTGACACACAAACACAGTGACCCATAAAACACAGATACAGTCATTCACACACACTGGCACACATTTCTCCATACTGATACACACATTGACACATACAATTACTGACACTCACATACATGCCCATAAATTCATATACATACTAGTCATGTTCTTTCCTCCCTTGCCAGACACTGTGTAACTGCGGTAGTACAGGCTGGTAATGCCTGTCCTCTGCCGCTCGGTTGACATCATTATCTCGACAGCCTTCATATCTGTGACTTCTGCGAGTAGCACCTGGCTCCCACCACTTCTCGCACCTCCCACCGCTCTTTTCATTTCATGGTATCTTATAAAACTTAAACATGTCCCTTTTACACTTTGTCAAAAGACAGCTTGAAGCATCTCCCTCTGTATCATCAGAACAATAATTCTCAGCTGCAGCACAAATCTCTTGTATGCTGGAACTCAGGAGTCAGTTATTGCTCTGCTATTAAAATAACGTCAAAATGTGAAATATAAAGCATAGATTGTTATTAATATTCATTTTCTTCCATGTAACCTGGTACAAAATATGTATTGATTTTACAAAAGAAAAACATCCTATCTTTTCATTTCAGTTCCAGGGACTGTGTCTTCTTTCAGTTGTTCTTCCATATATTTGGAGAAATCCCTGTCATTCACATGGACATGTCCTGCCGGAGTGTATACCTCCTTCACTCTCAGTCTATACAACACAAGTAACAGCATCTTAAGTACCACCGTTACTGTTAATCAGAACTGTATGAATGACACACAGACTTATATTCAGCCAGGCTTGCAATATTACACTAATTACACTGCTAATATATCAACTTCCATGCAGTCGTGCAGCCAAACAAGTGATGACGTCATGATTGCCAACTGTTTAACTTCCATAGGACGTAAGTAACAATAATTAACGCGCTTATAGTATAGACTTTCCCTCTGAGCTATCAGTTCCTAATTGATGAGGGCTGACATTTTACCTTCTTGACCACCATTGGTATAAACAATTTGATATATTACAAAACTATAAGATTATTTTAAAAAGTATAAGTAGAGGCATAATCATGTGTTGATATATTACATAAAGATGTATTGTATATGAATTATAAACTCTTTACTAAAGGATTATTCAGATTAAATACATCTGTTTATATAGAGTGAAGTAGTTTCATGATATACATTTATGTTTTGTAATATTGTATCTGCTTTGTCTTTGCAAAAAATGCTTAATATTATAATTATTATTATTATTATTGTCATTTATATAGCGCCAACAGATTCTGTAGTGCTTTACAATATTATAAGAGGGGGGATTTAACTGTAAATAGGAAAATTACAAGAAGACTTAAAGGAACGATAGGCTGAAGAGGACCCTGCTCAAACGAGCTTAAAGTCTATAGGAGGTGGGGTGTAAAACACAATAGGACAGGGAAAAGCAATCAAAATAGGTGGGAGTGAAGCAGAGCTGGAGGAGAGAGTAGAGTGCTGCCCTTCAGCAGAGAGCAAGAGACAGTTATGTGAGGTAGAGGTTACTTTGGGAGGCCATAAGCTTTTCTAAAAAGATGGGTTTTAAGGCACTTCTTAAACGATTGAAGACTAGGGGAGAGTCTGATGGTGGTAAGCAGGCTATTCCATAGGAAGGGAAGTCCTGCAAGTGTGAGTTGGCTGTATGGATGCCAGTAGCGGACAGGAGGAGGTCATGGGCAAAGCAGAGAGACCGAGAAGGGGCATACCTATGGATCTGTGATAAGATATAAGAGGAGCTAGAATTGTTCAGTGCTTTATAAGTATGGGTTAGCATTTAGAATTGACTCCTATAGGAAGGAAGCCAATGTAAGGTCTGACAAAGGGGTGAGGTGTGAGAGGACCAACTAGAGAGGAAAATCAGTCTGGCGACAGCATTCATTACAGACTGTAGCGGGGCAATAGGGTTTTTGGGAAGACCATTTAGGAAATGGTTACAATTATCCATGCAGGAAATTACTAGAGCATGAACAAGCTGTTTGGTACCATCTTGTGCAAAAAAGGGGCGAATGCGGCTATGTTTCTAAGAAGGAATCTACAGAATTTGGTAACATGCTGGATGTGAGGCTCAAAGGTGAGGTTAGAATCAAATATGACACCAAGACAGCGCGCTTGCAAGGATGGACTGATGTGGATACCACTGACTTGAAGGGAGAGCAAAAGAAGAGTTCAGTATTAGGAGCAGTGTTATTTTGGATTTGTGCTGCCCTAGGCATGACTAGATTCGGGCACCCCCAAAATCTAAATTTGCCCCCGCAATTCGTGTCAAGGCCACTTTTCTGACTGACAGACACATGCCCTAATTGATACATGCACTGATATACACTCATGGACAGATACACAGTTATTGGCACACACTGTTTAACCAACACACACTTTCACTGACAGACACACACTGACACACCCACTCACTGACAGGCACACACTCTCAGATACACATAAAATGACATACACACACTGACACATACTCACAGGCACACCCATTCTCACTGAAAGACACACACACTTTCACTCGCTCACAGACACACACTGACAGCTACACTCAATCACAGTAAGTTGGACAGCTCCAGAACAAGAGGCAAACAAGGCATTTGTCTGGGAGCTTGGGGTGGAGTTTTTTGGTGCCCCCCCTTGAAAGTGCTGCCCTTGGCAAATGCCTTGTTTGCCTTGTGGTAAATACATCCCTGATTAGGATGAGGAAAAACAAGGAGTTCAGTTTTAGTGAGAGTTAGTTTTAGAAAGTGGGGGGACATCCGGTCAGAGATGTAGGAAAGGCAAGCAGTGACATGTTGCAGGACGGCAGGGCAGAGGTCTGGGGAGGAGAGATATAGCTGGGTGTCATCAGTGTAAAGGTGGTAGTGGAATCCAAATGAGGCAAAAAGTATACAAAGAGAGGCAGTATAAAGAGAAAATAGAAGGGGACCAAGGACAGAGCCTTGGGGGACTCCAACAGAGACAGGATGAATGGAGGAGATATCATTAAAAAAAGATACACAGAATGAGCATTGTGAGAGATAGGAGGTAAACCACGAGAGGACAGCGTCACAGAGACGAGTGATTGAAGTGTTTGAAGAAGGAGAGCATAATCAACAGTGTCAAAGGCAGCAGAGAGGTCAATATGTATTAGTATGGAGTAGTGGCCTTTAGATTTAGCTGCAATTAGGTCAATAGTAACTTTGATAAGAGCAGTCTCAGTGGAGCGGAGGGGGCGGAAGCCAGATTGAAGAGGTTCAAGGAGAGAGTTGGAATTGAGAAAGTGAGACATACGGATAAAGACAAGTCTTTTCAGAAGCTTTGAGGAAAAAGGGAGCAGGCATATACGATGCTAGTTAGAGGGGGTGGACCGGTCAAGGGAGGTTGCCAAAACAGGGCGAAGAAGAGAGTTAAAGGTGTCAAAGAGATGCCTGGGATTGCGGGAGCATGAATTAATGAGAGAGGGGGGGTGTCCTCCTCGAGGTGCATGTTTGAAGCAGGGCTGCAGTGTTCAAGGCAGAGGTGAGGGTAGTGTTATATGTGGAGATGGCCAGTAAGGGAGAGGAGAGGGAAGGGATGGATAGGGGTTGCGAATCAATATCAGCTGACAGCTGCTGGAGGTCAATATAATTAAGGTTCCTCCTGAGTTGAGGGGAGTTAGGCTTAGGTTGTTGGGTGAGAGGGTACTCGAGAGCAAATGATAAGAGGTGGTGATCAGAGAGAAGAAATTGAGTATTGGAGATATTAGATACTGTACATGCATAAGAGAAAATGAGGTTGAGGGTATTGCCAGCTACATGGGTGGGAGAATTAGCCCACTGCGATAGCCCAAGGGAGAAAGTAATTGAAAGTAGTTTAGAGGCTGCTGAGGTCAGGGGTGGGTTAATGGGAATATTGAAGCCCCCGAGAAATAGGGATGGTATGTTAGAGGAGAGGAAGTAGGGTAGCCAGGCAGTGATGTGGTCAAGGAAGAGGAGAAGGGTAACCAGGGGGGCTGTAAATAACAGCAATGTTAGCAGAGATGGGTTTGAATAAGCAAATTGAGTGAACTTCAAAGGAGGGGAGAGAGAGGGAAGGGGGGGGGGGGGGATAGAGTTTTGAAGGAGCAGTGAGGGGAAAGGAGAAACCCTACACCACCACCTTTACTGTCAGACTGTATTGGGTTGTGTGTAAACTGTAGATCACCATAGTTTAATGAGGCAGGGGGAATGTGTCAGAAGGAGAGAGCCAAGTTTCAGTTAAAGCAAGTAAGTTAAGGGAGCGTGAGAGGAATACATCATGGATGGAAGTAGATTTAGTTTGGTTGCACACAGAGCGTGCATTCCAAAGGGCAGAATGGAAGGAGGGTTTAAAGGGAGAAATACATGGGATGGATATAAGATTGGAGAGGTTTCTAGGGTGGACACAAGGTAGGTGGGTAGATACAGGACCAGGGTTTGGAGAGACATCGCCAGCTGCCAGGAGTAGAAGTGTAGTCCTTGGTCCCCTACTGTTCTCTATATATACTGCCTTTCTTGGTAAACTCATTAGCTCCTTTGGCTTCCAATATCCTTTCTATGCGGATGACATCATGCAAACCTACCTGTCCTCTCCTGATCTCTCCCCGCCCCTCTTGACTAGTGTCTCTGACTGCCTCTCTGCAATTTCTAACTGGATGGCTGACCACTTCCTTAAACTCAACTTGACCAAAACGGAAATTCTAGTCTTTCCTCCCTCAAATGTTGCTACTCTTGTGTCTGTCTTCCTCCAAGTCAACGGTGCTACCATCAGCTCCACCACGCAGGCTCGCTGCCTAGGTGTTCTATTTTGTTATAGAGGAGGAAATTATAAAGGCAGCTAGCACTGTAGGAGAGTGTGGCGGTATTACATGTGAGGAGAAGATAATATACATGATTGGTGTGTTTGGAAAACAAGGTGATTTGAACTATCTATAAATGTAGTGAAAACCATGGGGATGGTGGGAAATACTACCTCAGCATAAGGCTTTAGTGCTGCAAGACTGGCTGGCTGTGAGTCTGTTGGGCTCTGATTGAAATAGAAATTCTGGGTTTAGATAAAAAACATAAATTGTGGGTGGAGATATATATGCAGGCACTGGCGTACATACTGTGGTCGCAGCTGCAACCGGGTTTGTGTGCCAGTTTGTCAGCCTCTTCTCCTGGGGGGCCCACTCTCCCATGAGCGCTCTCTGCCCATCTCCTTGCGCACCGCAGTGATGCTGGAGCCGGAATATGACGTCATTCCGGCTCCGGGATCAGTACACGGCACGCAAGGGAGCTGAACAGGAGGCTCAGTGCTCCCTCGCCGCCTGCAGGACCGGCCGCCCAGCAGCCCCACTGGACCCCAGGGAATCCCCTCAGCACACCCAAAGGAAAGGAGGCCGGGGGATTAAATTTAAAAAACATGTTTGTGTCTGTGTATGTGTGTTAGTGTTAGAGTGGGTGTGTGTGTTAGTGTTAGTTTTTGTGTGTCAGTGTGTGTCTGCTAGTGAGTGTCAGTGAGTGTTAGTTTTTGTGTATTTTACTGTGTGTGTTTGTGTGTGTCTGTTATTGAGTGTGTGTTAGTTTGTGTGTAAGTGAGTATGTGTGTCAGTGAGTGTGTTACTGTGTGTGTCTGTTACTGTGTGAGTTAGTTTGTGTGTGTCTGTTAGTGTGTGTGTCTGTTAGTGAGTCTGTTTGGTGTCTGTTAGTGAGTTTGTGTTTGTCGGTGAGAGTGTATGTTTTGTAAGTGAGTGTGTATGTGTGTCTGTCTGTCAGTGAGTGTGTATGTATGTCTGTCATTGAGTGTGTCTCTGTCAGTAAATGTGTGTCTGTTAGCTAGTGTGTATGCGTCTGTTCGTGAGAGTGTGTGTGTATTTAAGCACTTACCTTTCTCCAGCGCCGTACTCCCTTGGCGCTGGGAAACCTCCGCCCGATCCGCCT